CTTCCAACCTGGAGACTCTATCTGGGTCAAATGATGGAACCCAACCACTTTAGGGCCTTTATGGGATGGTCCCCATATTGTGATCTTGTCTACCCCCACTGCTGTTAAAGTTTCAGATATCACACCTTAGGTTCATCATAGCTGGCTGAAACCAGCAGCAGCCACCACCCAGGACCAGCAGACCAGTCAACAAAACGCAGACCACCTGACACGGCTGATCCTGCAGTGAAACCAAGCCAGTGCTGACAAGGACAACTGCCCTGCTCTGACCACTCTAGAGGCTGGTCAGTCCATGCATGGCTGAAGCTTGAGGAAACATCGAGCCCTGCTCTGGTCACACAACTGGAAGCTGACTTGTCTATGCACAGCCGAAGCCTGAGGAAGTCAATGATAGATAAGTAAATGTGGATTAAATTTACAAACATAGTTATATTCTTACTTGTACTGATTATTTTGCTGTCATGTTATCTTTGCAAATGCTGCCAAGCTTGTTATCCAGAAGGGTTCCCATGCATAGTATAAGTTTAATCATATTAGTAATACTGAAGCCACTGACACTTTCACCTATGGTCATAAAAGGGGACCAGGATGCCTGTCATCACTGTATGATGGAAGCCTGGTCTGGAAAAGGTGTGACTAAAACTCTGTTATACCAGACCTACTATGAGTGTACAGGGACTCATACAGGAACTTGTGTCTATAACCAGACTAGTTACTTGGTCTGTGATCCTGGAAACGGGAAGCCCCAAGTGTGTTATAACCCAGAGTTCTTGCCCTATGACTTCTGGTTTGAAGTCCAAATTGGTGAACCCCTAATGTCATCAAATACAAACCCCACAGAAACCGGGGGGTTTGTTCATTGTAAACAAAATGAACATATTCCCTTACTCACATAAAGGACCTGTCTCCATATATTTTGATGCCTGCCAAGCTGTACATCTCAGTAAACTAAATAATATTGGGACCATCTGTAAAAATCTAGGACAAGAAACAGTCAGCATCAGAGCCGCCAAGGACAGGCATACCACCACCCGAACAATGGCTCTGCAGAAGTACCAACCGGTATCCCAAGATGAGTATGTACCCACTCAAGAAGAAATAGCTATCTGTGGTGCTCTTTACTAATTTGCATTTGTGTTGAGCACCAAAAGGGGGAAGTGAAGAAAGTATTAATGAAATCAACTATAACCTAATAGTAGTAGTAATAGAAATTTTAAAATCCTCTTAAAGTTGCTGCAAAGTGTGACCACCCCCCCGCCCCCAACTGCCTTACTCTCAAGTTAAAAGAGAGTATTAACAGCCTGTCTTCTCTCTGTGGACAGTGGACCTTATCTATACTCCCCAACTCCACAATCCTCAATGTTTATTACAGGCCCAGCGAGTTCCTGCACAGCTGCAAGTCACAAGACAGATTTTTAGGTTGCAAGACATGTTTCTCTCAAGATGTAAGAAATGTTGTAATGCTGCCTTTGTTTCTTGCTTCTGTATCTTGCTTCTTGCCTCACATGGTTCCCGCCTTAAGATATTTAAAAGTAGGAAAAGCACTTTGTTTGGGGCTCAGACTTTCTGGATGTATGTCCGGCTGTCAGTGATCAGCTTAATTTAATGAACTCTCCTGAACGTTTTTTGGTCTCTCCGGTCTTTGATTGTCCCACAACACTGTATTCTAATAAAAATCCTCATTTAAATTATAATTTTATAGTTGGGTGTGGTGGCATGTGCCTGCAGTCTCAGCTATTTGGGAGGCTGAGGCAAGAGGATCCCTTGAGCTCAGGATTTCAAGGCCAGTCTGGACAATATACTGAGAGCCAATCTAAAAAAATTGTTATACTTTTCTCTAATTTGATTCAATCTATATTACAAACCCACACTTTTTAGGGCACAAGGAATACCATATTTTAGTTGAACCCATTGAGCTGAGTTAGATGCAATAGGTCAAATATGTTAATGTTCATGCCTTCAAAATTAAAATTCTTTCTACTTCCCTCCTCCAAAATGTGGTATTGGGGTCTATAGATGAGGTGGGTGAAATTAAAGTATCTTCACTTTTTATTCTAGGTGTTCTGATCTCATCAGTGGTGTTTCTGATCTTTCTAGTCTTGCAGGTATTGGTCCCCATTATATGCTCACACAGCTTAAGTTTCCAGACAGTGGTATGCTACGGCCAACTTGTACTAGCTTATGAAAGTCAATTGTGTACATCTTGTCCCAACTCTATCTTTGTTATTTTGGCTTGTCACTTGGTGGCTTTAAAGGGCCATGCTTGGAGTATTTATAATCTGGAAATTGGCAAATGCTACAAATATGAGCTGTTTCTCTTGAAGAGTTGATTGTTAAATATTTACAAACATACCACTCCCTCCAGATAAAGTGGAATTCACGTTGTGTATTGTCCTCTTCCATTTCGACTGTGGGCTTGGTTAGATAACTTGCTTTGACCAGTTTGACGTTAGCAAGTATGTCAGCAGATTTTTGTTAAGCCTTTCACAATGGTGATAGTCCTCTTCTACCATGCTATGAGGAAGCCAAAATCACATGAAGAAGCCATATGGAAGAGAACTGAGAAACATAGTTGAGAGCTAGAATGAGGCCTCAGACATAAGACCTAAATTTAGCAATCCCAGCTAGCAGCTGTCTGTGTACCACCTCAGCAGAGGTCCCAAGCACTGTGGAATAGAGAGGAGATGCCCCATTTTACCCTTCCTGAATTCCTAACACACAACATTGTGAGAAAATAAGCTGGTAAGTTTTGGTGTGGTTTCTTACACAGCAATAAAACCCTTGAATGAACATGTTTTTCCAGTTTTTCAGCTTTCTCAAAGTCTCATGGCTCTCCATAGCTGACTCAATTTTACCTCATATTTTGCTCATATTACATATGTGTCTGAGAATCCTCCATCATTTCCATTTGGTAAATGTCTTAGGCAGTTGTAACATTTCTCTTCCTCTGGATTACCAGCACTCAATTCTTTGGTCAGCCCATGCTCAACAGAACCAAAACACCTCAGAGAAACTAGCCTCTGGTCTTCTAAGAGCAGGCCACTCTTAATTGCAGGTATCTTTGATTGCTATACCCAGGTTGATGTGAGGACAGACTATAAGGCAATATCTTTCTAGCATCCTCAGAGTGATTTGGATATAAAATTTCCTGCTTAAGATAACTCCCTTAACTTTAAGATAGCATTTAATTTCTGGGCTAAGGTTTAAAAATAACCATTTAATGACAACATGTTTGAGAAAAGTCTAAGAAACCTATTCCTTTTCAAAAGAAAATGATTTTATCACAGTATAGTCACATACTTTTAAAAAGCTAACTGAGGCTGATAATCTAAATTACTATGCCAGTTATACTGAGAAGTGTAGTCTACAGTAACTTGCATTTGACATGGAGTTGGTCTTCTGCTGACTTGATGAATAACTTAGCAGCCAAACAGGTGGCTCTATTACCTTACTTTGATGCTAAGAATGCAATTTTAATCAGTTTTTAATTAGTTCCATGGATAAAATCAGTTTGGACATGAGTTTGACAGTGCTATTTTAAATCTAACATTATGAATTAGAAATATTGGACATGATTTCTATAATGTGAGATTTTAATGTAATCTTACTTTTCCCATTCTTTGGGTTCATGATTTTAAAGTATACTAAAAAAACTTGGAGAATCTTAGAAATATTAAACACTGTTTTTTGTTGTTGTTGTTGTTCGTACTATTTTAGCCTTGTTGATGGGAGGCTAATGATACCTCACTGTAGTTTTAATTTGCTTTATCTTGATGAGTAATAAAGTTCAGCACATTTTCACACACTTACTGACCATTTGGATATCTTCCTTTGTAAAGTTTCTATTCAAACCTTTTGTTTATATTTTTTTATATTTAATTACCTATTTGAACTGACTTATAACATTTTTTATATATTTTAGGTAAGAGCCCTTTGTCAGATAGATATACTGCAATTATGTTATCTATGTGGCTTACCTTTATCCTCTCTTAATGGTATCTATTGAAAATTGAACTATATTAATTTTAACAAAATCCAGTGTATCAGTTTTTATGATTTGCACATCTTTTTTCTGTTTCAAACATCTTTGCTTATTCCAAAGACATAACGATATTCTCCTATGCTTTCTCCTAAAATTATTTATCTTTCACATTAAATTTGCAACCCATCTGTAATAGCTTTTTTTTTTTTTTTTTTTTTAATGGTTTGAGGTGGGGAACCAAGATTTATTTTTTTATTCAACAAGGATATTCAGTTCATCTAGTACCATATTGGAAAGGCCACACTTATGCCACTGCTCTGCAGTATTCCCTTTGTCATAAGTCAATTGACAGAGGGCCATGTAAGTGTGTTTCTCTACACTCTATTCTGTTTCAGAGTCCTTTTGTATCTCCTTATGCCAATATCACTGTCATAATTGCTATAACTATATAATGAGCCTTGATATCTTGTAGTGTGCTTAATTATTTTTGACATATATATATTTTCTTTTTATTTTATTTTTAAATTGACATGTAACTATACATATTGAAGGAGTACAGTGTAATATTTTGATACATGTATTCATTGCCTAATATCAAGTCAGCTAAGGAGAGGAGGGGGAAGAGGAAGAGGGAGGAGGAAGAGGGAGGGGGAAGAGGGAGGGGGAAGAGGATAGTCAATGGGTATAAAGTTACAATTAGGAGAAATAAGTTCTAGTGTTCTTTTAGAACTGCTCTTGCTGGTCTATGGATTGCATTTTGGGTTGTGAAAGTCTTCTTTTTTTGAATTTACGGATTATATTTATTTATTTATATTATTTATTTTTATTTCCATAGGTTTTTGGGGAAAGGATGGTATTTGGTTACATGAGTAAGTTCGTTAGTGGTGTTTTGTGAGATTTTAGTGCACCCATCACCCAAGGAGTATACACTGAACCCAATTTGACTGAAAGGCTTCTTAAAATGGCATAAGGACCCATTAGGTAGGTCCTAATTCAGTGTGACTTGTATCTTTATGAGGAGATTAAGATACAGATACAGCGAGGGAAGACCATGTAAAGACACAGAGAGAAGATAAACATCTACAAGCCTCAGATGCTTCAGAAGAAATCAGCCCTGCAGACACCCTTGATCTCCAGAACTGTAATACATTTCTGTTGTTAAAGCTGACCAGTCTGTGGTACTTGTTACAGCTCTAACAAGGTAATACATTACAACTATTGTTACTTTCTTATTCAATAATTTCAAAAATGCATTTTTCAATAGGTACTTGCGTCTCACTGTGTCACATTGGGAATATATATACATATTCCCTATGTATGTGTATATATACATAATGATTTTTAGTTTTTTAATATGTTGGCTTTATATTTTGGTCACTGTAGCTTTGGATTACTATTATTATTATTATTTTTTGAGACGGAGTCTCGCTCTGTCGCCCAGGCTGGAGTGCAGTGGCCGGATCTCAGCTCACTGCAAGCTCCACCTCCTGGGTTTACGCCATTCTCCTGCCTCAGCCTCCCGAGTACTTGGGATTACAGGCGCCCGCCACCTCGCCTGGCTAGTTTTTTGTATTTTTTAGTAGAGACGGGATTTCACCGTGTTAGCCACGCTGGTCTCGATCTCCTGACCTCGTGATCCGCCCGTCTCGGCCTCCCAAAGTGCTAGGATTACAGGCTTGAGCCACCGTGCCCGGCCCTGGATTATTTTATCATTTTATTTTATTAATTCACCTTTATTCAGAGTGTCAATCTTAAGTTTTCAATGAGATTTTAATATACCTATTGATAAAAGAAGAAATGGGTATAATTAGGGTGAACGAAAACCAGTCGTTTGGACAAAAGATGTAGAGTAGACAAAAGACATGAGTATCCAAGGTCATGAATACTGTAATAGCAGAGAACAGAAGCAGTCTCTCAGGTGACACTGAGCAGGAACCAAACAACAAACTCAAACTTTGATGTTCATATGTGTCACTTGGGGATTTTGTTTACATGTAGATTCCGAATCAGTAGCTCTGGAGTGGTGCCTGTGAATCCGGGTGACATGGCTGCTGGTGATCTATGGATTGCATTTTGAGTTCCAAAGGGCAAGATTCTCTGTTTCTTCACACTTTTATCTACTTCCTAGCATTCTCTGCTGCAGACCTGTTTCTGCCACCTGGCTCACACTCACAAATTCACTTATTTACATCTCACTGATGTACTTGCAGCTACTCTACGTTTTGACCTCATCTTATTTGCTTAAGTTATATTTGAAAGACTTTTATCTTTCCTGACCCAAGTGAAACTACTTTGTCAACCTGAGTGGGTTTAATAGCATTTCCTGGTGCTTTCCCCAGCACCATTCTATGTTGCCAGTCCTCTTCAATGAAACCAGAAATCATTTTCTGTTTATTTCCAATATAATTGGGCTGCACTTAATGAAAACTTGACATATAATTCTACAATTTTAAAAAAGGTTACTTTAAAAGAGGTGGATATATGTATATTATGATGAATTTAGAGGAAAATGTCAAAGTATTGAAAAATGAATAATGTTTGCTATTCTAGTAGAAATACTAGAATATCTAATTCTATTAAAGAATTACCTTAACAGTGAGAGTCCTATCTTTCATGTTGTAATTATTATATAAGAAGATATTCCTAACATTTCAGTTATTAAAATTTGCTTACAAATTTATTGAGTTAATATGCCATTAAGCAAACAAATACAGGTTCTTATTGATATGCATCAACTCTTGACATTTGTGTTATCTCAATAACGAATAAAAGCGGAAATAACTGACATTTTAACTCACTAGTTATAGTAAACTGATATTTTAACTCATATATGTATATTTATATATATTTAAATCATATCTATCTATATATATAACTCATATGATTTTAATTATAATAACTATATTTTGAAGTATTAACCCCAATATCATCATCTTGGGGGAGGCTTTGAGAGGTAATTAGGTTTAGATAAAATCATGATGGTGGGGCCCCCTTGATGGGATTAGTTTTCTTATAAGAAGAAAAATTCTCTCTCTCTCCCTTCTTCCCTCTCTCTGCCATGTGACAATACAGTGAGAAGGCAGCAGTTTTCAAGCGAAGAAGAGGACCCTTATCAAGAACCAAATCTGGTGCCACCTCGATGTTGAAATTCCAGTGTCCCAATCTGTGAGAAATAAATGCCTTTTGTTTAAGTTGCGGACTCTATGGTATTTTGTTGTAGCAGTTTTAGCTAACACAGAAATTGGTACCATGATTGGGGTGCTTATTTAACAAATACCTAAAAATGTGGAAGCAGCTTTGGAACTAGGTAATGGGTAGAGCTTGGAATAGTTTTGAGGTGCATTATAGAAACGTACACAATAAGGACAATTATGATGAGAGCTCAGAAAAGAGAGGAGTTGTAGAGAAAATTTACATCTTATATATAAGTAGTCACAGGAAGAATGATGATAGAAATGTAGACAATAAAGCCCATTCTAGTGATATCTTATACAGGTGTGAGGAACATGCTATTAGACAATGAAGAAAAGGCAACCCTTTTCATAAAATGGCAAGGAACTTGGCTGAATGGTATTCATGTTCTAAAGTTTTGAGAGAGATAGAACTTGCAAGCAATGCAATTGGATATTTAGCTGAGGACATTTCTAACCAAAGTATTGAAGGAGTGACTTGATTCCTCATGATTGTTTATAATCAAATGTGAGAAGTGAAAAATAAATTGAACAAGGAATTGTCAAAAAATATTTGTAAAATTCTGAGCATGTCCACATCATAAAAGTTGAGAAAGCATGTTTGGAAGATAACTTCAAGTGTGTGACTGACCAACTCTTTGATAAGAAAATTTGTGTGGGTATGAACTATAAACCTAATCAGCCATCTCAACAGAAACCAGAAAGGGACACTTCGCAAGAATTGGACCATGCCTGCACAGTGATAATGAACCCGCAGCCTCCATAACTGTGAGAAATAACTTTCTGTTATTTAAGCCACCCAGTGTATGGAATTATGTTATGGTAGCCTGAGCTGACTAAAATAATCTGTATGCCTTTTTTGTTATTGTTAGCTAATTCTGGCTTTTCTAATGGGAAAGAAAAAATGCTGCCATGGCATTTCTTAGGACTATGCATACATTTCTAATCAGGTTCTTTGCTTGAATTAAAGAATTTCCAAACAAATTACAAGACTTTCAATTCTATCAGTGAGGACATTTTGGCTTTTTCATCCTTCATAATATTTACTATACAAAGTTTTGCATTTATGTGGTTACTCTAGGGACCATGAGATAGTTAAGGCCTTGAGAATCTCATAAATTTACAGTAATGGTAGGGGATTTTCAGTAATTCTTCTTTCCCTATTTTCAAAAAGAATTCTGTTCCCTCGATATGGGGATTAAGGTTGCTTTTTCCAGCCTTCTTCTGAAATATACACATTGAACTCAGCATAATATTTGCTTCTAATTGGCATCATTTAATGTTGTGTGCCACAGGCCCCTCCTATTCTTACTGTTTATTAATTTTAGTTATACAGAAGGGGGCTCTGTGAATCTTGACTTCCTACCAGTACAATCAAATGTGAGCCATGGTAATGGAAAGCAAATGTTACCTTCAGAATTCTGGTAAGGAAGGTATTACAACTTATTTAAAAAGTAAGTTATGTTTTAGTTTAAGGATGACAAACGTCTTTAGTGGTTACAGGGTCTGAAATGAGCACCCAGTTAGTATTCTGCTCTTTGCTTGTCCATGCACAATGCAATTTCAAAATTTCATTTTTTAACAGCTCCATTGTTATTGATTAAATCATGCCTCTACCCTTCATATGTTGAAGCCCTAACCCTCAATGTGACTGTATTTGAATTTAGAGCCTTTAATGAGACAATTAAGTTTACATTAGGCCATAAGGTAGGGTCTAGTCTGATAGTACTGGTGTCCTTCAAGAAGAGAAATAGATACCAGTGATCTCTTTCCTTTTGTGCATGCACAGAGGAAAAGCCAAATGAGAAAACAGAGAAGGTGGCTGTCTATAGGCAAGAAAGAGAGGCTTCACCAAAACCCAACTGGACAGCATTCTCATTCTGATCTTGGACATCTAGCATCTAAAACTGTGAGAAATACATTTCTGTTGTGTAAACCTCCCGGTCTGTTTTGTTATGACAGCCCTAACAGATGAATATGCCTATTTTCCACATTTTATTAATTTTAGAACGACTCTTCTTTCTTTTGAAAGCAACTGTTGTGGAAAGTTGAGTGTAGAAGCAAGTGGAGATGGAAAGAAAATGACTGAGAAAATAAGCTTGTTCTTCAACTCCGGCTTGTATTTACTACACAATAAGCTAGAGTATTTACTATACAACAAGATACCTACAGACTCTGCTGTGGTTGCACAAAAGTCAGATTGTAAGGTTTTCTCTTGGGCTGAAATATTACTTATCCTTCTGCCCTACCATGTATAGGGAGCTAACTATAATTTATAGTCAGAATGTATGCAGTATAGTCAGCTTATATACATTATACATATATGAATGTTCATATTGTTTATTAACATATTTAACTATTTTCACATTGGAATAATTTTTGACATATTTGCTAATGTATCTCTCCACTCCAAGACACACACAGACACTACAGACACAGACCACAAACACATTCACATATACTTAAAACCCTTTTAGGACCAGAATTTTGTTCTTTCTTTCCTTTCTTTCTTTCCCTCCCTTCCCTCCGTCCTTCCTTCCTTCCTTCCACCTTGCCTTTCCCTTCCTTTCTTTCTTTCCTTTCTTAAGACAGAGTTTCACTCTTGTTGCCCAGGCTTGAGTACAATGGTGCGATCTCGGCTCATCGCAACCTCCGCTTCCGGGGTTCAAGTGATTCTCCTGCCTCAGTCTCTCTAGTAGCTGGGATTACAGGCATGCACCACCACACCCGGTTAATTTTGTATTTTTAGTAGACATGGGGTTTCTCCATGTTGGTCAGGCTGGTCTTGAACTTCCAACCTCAGGTGATCCACCCGCCTCGACCTCCCAAAGTGCTGGGATTACAGGAGTGAGCCACCTTGCCTGGCCCGAGGAGCTTTCTAATACATAGTTGAATAACAAAATGAATAAATAAATCATACTCCAATTAAATCTGCTGGAGCGATTTCAAAGCATGTGACCTGCGTGAAACAGGTCTAACAATGCAACAGGGTACGATGAACTAGAATAATTTGGAGGGACCACCATGACACATGTTATAACTCTTGATGTGAATCCTACTATTTTCAATGCTTATTATGAAAAGGCCATGACTAAAAGAATCCTAAAAATTAGCTTGCCAAAAGCTACATAATTTAAGTATACTTTATTCATGTTCAAATACTAAATTGTTATTTCATTAATACTGACCTTAGGTCAAACACATTAGCCTGCCAAGTAAAGTCTATGTCAGTCAAGGTCCCATGTTCCCCCTAAAAGATTTATAGAATGGTTGTGGTACTCCAAATGAATATGATTTCTAAGGTCTTCTCTTTTTCTCCATCTGTTTATCTGTCATCTCTCTCTCTGTCTTTTTGTTTTAAAAATAAAATTTTCAAGATGCTGTCAAAACGATTACCTTTTATGCAACCAGAACAGCATTGCTATGTTAGTTGCAAATTATAGTAGGACTAGGGCATCAACATGAAGCAACCTCTTTTTTTTTATTCTTTATTATGTAACTGTAATGAACAATTAATCTTTGCATGTTTTTTTTTTTTTCTCCAATGGCATAAATGCTTAGGCTTGTGTAGAGCTCCCCTCCATACAATAAAGATATAGTCTTTTTACTTCTGTTTCAATTGAACTCCTTTATAAGTCATTAATAAAGGAGATGTTGATTATGGGATTAAATATTTAATATTTTTTGCCTATCTGGAATTTCTTTCACTGAATACAACAATAAGGTAAGAACCCTAATAAAATAATCTGTTTTATAGAACACCTGTTCCAGGCACTACAGTTTCTTTATACATGGGAAACAATTTAATCCTCCTACCCACACAGGAAGTTGGCATGAGTATCTCCATTATACAGATAAAAGACTGAGGACAGTATGCACATTGTCACCCAGATAGGAAATGCTAGAGCTGGGATCAATATCCAGATCTGTCTGGCATCCTTTTCAGTCTAAACACATAAAATAAGTATTTCATGGGGACACAGTGAGGTGTCACTAATATATTAGGTGTCATAAGGTTTAGATTTATAATGAATTTAGCTCCCGCTTTGCAAAGTCCCATTAAAAAAAAAATGAAGTTGTAATGAATTATTGTCATAACCTTGCTATTCACTGAATACTTCTTTTGGTGTGTCTGGAAAATGGGTTAAGCACTTCACATTCATTAGTTCATGTGATCCTCAGAAGAAATTATGTAGGTGCTATTATTTGTATTTGACAGATGGAATAAGCGCAACTCAGAGAAGTTTATCAACTTGTGCCAGGTTACACAACTTTAAGTGGCAAAGTCGGGGCTCAAACCAGAGCCACATCCTTAACCACCACCCTTTTCTGTACAAGAAGCTCGGACTCCACTTAAAAACTGTTTTTTTACAGGTTTTATCAGAGCCTAAGATCAGCCCTGGGAATGAAAGGACTGAGGCTGGAAATAGGACTGAGACAGTGTTGTTTCTTTTTTCTTTGATAGGGAGTCTCACTCTGTTGCCCAGGCTGGAGTGCAGTGGCATGATCTCAGCTCACTGCAGCCTCCACCTCCTGAGTTCAAGCAATTCTCCTGCCTCAGCCTCCAGCATAGCTGGAATTACAGGCGCATGCTGCCATGCCACACTAATTTTTTTTTTTTTTTTTTTTTTTGTATTTTTAGTACAGATGGGGTTTTACCATGTTGGCCAGGCTGGTCTTGAACTCCTGACCTCAGGTGATCTGCCTACTTTGGACTCCCAAAGTGTTGGAATTACAGACATGAGCCACTGCGCCCACCTGGTGTTGTGTTTCTACTAAAGAAGCAAAATAGGAAGAGCTTCAGAATACAGTCTTTATGGTAGTGTATACACCACAGTAAAGAAAAGCTTTTACACTTACGCTCACTTTGTGTGCAATGAATGTCAATTGGGAAGCCTGTTTCTACAGAGGCATACATGCAACCTCCAGACTGATAAAGTCATAGGGCCATGCTAACTCTTGAAAGTTGAGAAATCCATTTTGTCATTCTAGGTAGTCATCAGAA